GGACACTTGTTGACTGACTGAATATTTTACTTGCTAGTTTCTGGGAAGATTCATCGTCTGACTGGTTTTGTCAAGAGACTACAGACTGGATAATTCAGGAACTGGTCTACGGCACATTAATGGTGTCGTATTATTGTGTCTTATTTCTGTTGGTTTGTGTCAGTTTTTTAAAAATCTCATTTGTATTTCCTCTGTATTGTTCTGGATCTCGTTTGTGCCTTTTTTGGTTGTTTTGTCTCAATTTGACTTTTAATTTGTGTTGTTTTATGTGTTGTTTTTGTACTTTTGAGTCTCATGTCTGTCGCTTAGTGTTGCTTTGTGTCTCGTTTGTGTCGTTTTGTTGTTTTGTGTTGGTTTTGTCAGTACTTTACAGACACTCAGATAAAGAACCCGTTTCCTGCTAAACATCTGGTGAGTTTTTGTTTAAAACTTCTTATCACAGACACACAAACCTGCACTGACACACACCTACAGATCAAACCCGATCAGCTCCAGTCGGTGTTTATAAGAAGCGACCTGCAGCTCTGTGATTATTGTTTGTCCGAGCTGGAACGTATACTTTTCACTGCACGACTCTCAGATCACACAAACACTCATTTACCTCTGCATGACAAACGCAATGTTTGTGAACCACACGGAGACGGAAAACACAACGTACAGAGTTGTGTTTATCTCTGCATGTCCAGCACAGACCGCAGCATTGTGTTTATCTCTGTGGTGTCTGCAAACACATCTGATTGGACGAACGCCGACAGCAGGAAGGAGTTCAGACGTCCAAAAGTTTCAGGGACCTTTAAACAGTTGCAGTTTTCTGGTTTAATGTTTATAATAATAATATCTATCTCTATTATTCTGATTGAAATGAGAAGATGGACGTCAATCATGTACCTGTGTTAAGAATGGAGCTGGTGTTAGCCTAGCTTAGCATAGACATAAAATCAAGATATATATCCATCAACAAATGTCTCTAAAGCCCAAAAACATCTACTCAGCCTTGTCTGGACCGTTTTTGTGTATTTCATATTGTGTTAGCTCTTCAAATTTAATCCAGCAGTCGTTTTGTGTCTCGTTTTTGTCATCTTGTGTCGTTTTGCGTCTCAATTTGTGTCTTATTTGTGTTGTTCTGTGCTGCTTTGGGTCTCGTTTGT